TGTGTTTTCAAAGTGTTCCACTTTTGTTGAGCAGTGTATTTAGCCGTCACTGGCAATGCTGCTGTCACTGGGGGGGGGGGGGGTGATGATGTGACCAGTCGCCTATCCATAGGAATAGGATACAGTGACTGGTCAACACTACATGCCTTTTTTTTTTTCTGCCTGGAGTTCAGCTTTAAACTTTTATTAAGCGAGGGGGAGGGGAGCACATTTGAGAAGTGGACCTTGCCTTTTAGAATAAAAACAATTGCCTTGAAGAATACATGCACTTACAAGCAATGTGCACTTAATTTGCCCCCTTCACTGACCTAAAGAATCCCCTTCATAGATGCATAGTTATCAAGACTGAATGGCCGCAGCCTCATCTGTTAACATCCATCGCCATAAGTCTTCTCACCCTGTCAGCTTTTGTGCAGTAGATCCCCCTAGACTTCTAGGGGCTTGTTCTTCTCCAGCTTCAGGCTAATAGATGAGCACCATAGATTTCTGTAGGGATCTCTTGCATGACCAGGGCGAGAGGGATCGCGGCATTCACTGGATGTCAACAAACACAGGAGGCTGCAGCCAATGGATGTCAACAAGTATGCATCTGCGGTGGGGATAGGGTGGTGGTGGTCTGTTAGGGTAGTAGATGGGGGCAAAAAGAAGAAAGTGTTTTTTTTGTCTGAAAGTACACTCTTTCTTTAGTGAGCTGGATTTGAAAAGGTTTGGACAGCAAATGCATCTGTGTTTAAAGCTGACTATATGCTATACAGTCTGTACAATCTCCTTTTAAGTTCACCATTCACATTACAATTGACAATGCAATCTTTGTACCATCAATTTTAGATTTACAAAAACTATTATGAGCACCTACCTAATCTAACTTTTGTAGTTTGTATCCAGGCAGGCAGGCCTTTGCGCTACATAGTTTTTGGTAGATGTGAAGGAGATTGTGCAATGTGCTGAGATTTAGATCTGCCATCAATTATGTGACATAAGAACCTGTCTGATTTAAAGTGTTACTAAACCCAAGACCCTGCATTCACTATATCTGGTCTCCCCGGACCCTGCATTCACTATATCTGGTCTCCCCGGACCCTGCATTCACTATATCTGGTCTCCCCGGACCCTGCATTCACTATATCTGGTCTCCCCGGACCCTGCATTCACTATATCTGGTCTCCCCGGACCCTGCATTCACTATATCTGGTCTCCCCGGACCCTGCATTCACTATATCTGGTCTCCCTAGACCCTGCATTCACTATATCCGGTCTCCCCGGACCCTGCATTCACTATATCCGGTCACCCCGGACCCTGCATTCACTATATCCGGTCACCCCGGACCCTGCATTCACTATATCCGGTCACCCCGGACCCTGCATTCACTATATCCGGTCACCCCGGACCCTGCATTCACTATATCCGGTCACCCCGGACCCTGCATTCACTATATCCGTTCCCCCCGGACCCTGCATTCACTATATCCGGTCCCCCCGGACCCTGCATTCACTATATCCGGTCCCCCCGGACCCTGCATTCACTATATCCGGTCCCCCCGGACCCTGCATTCACTATATCCGGTCTCCCCGGACCCTGCATTCACTATATCCGGTCTCCCCGGACCCTGCATTCACTATATCCGGTCTCCCCGGACCCTGCATTCACTATATCCGGTCTCCCCGGACCCTGCATTCACTATATCCGGTCTCCCCGGACCCTGCATTCACTATATCCGGTCTCCCCGGACCCTGCATTCACTATATCTGGTCTCCCCGGACCCTGCATTCACTATATCTGGTCTCCCCGGACCCTGCATTCACTATATCTGGTCTCTCCGGACCCTGCATTTACTATATCCGGTCTCCTCATACCCTGCATTCACTATATCCGGTCTCCCCGTACCCTGCATTCACTATATCCGGTCTCCCCGTACCCTGCATTCACTATATCCGGTCTCCCCGTACCCTGCATTCACTATATCCGGTCTCCCCGTACCCTGCATTCACTATATCCGGTCTCCCCGGACCCTGCATTCACTATATCCGGTCTCCCCGGACCCTGCATTCACTATATCCGGTCTCCCCGGACCCTGCATTCACTATATCCGGTCCCCCTGGACCCTGCATTCACTATATCCGGTCTCCCTGGACCCTGCATTCACTATATCTGGTCTCCCTGGACCCTGCATTCACTATATCTGGTCTCCCTGGACCCTGCATTCACTATATCTGGTCTCCCTGGACCCTGCATTCACTATATCTGGTCTCCCTGGACCCTGCATTCACTATATCTGGTCTCCCTGGACCCTGCATTCACTATATCCGGTCTCCCAGGACCCTGCATTCACTATATCTGGTCTCCCTGTACCCTGCATTCACTATATCTGGTCTCCTCGTACCCTGCATTCACTATATCCGGTCTCCCCGGACCCTGCATTCACTAGATCAGGTCTCCCCGGACCCTGCATTCACTATATCCGGTCTCCCCGGACCCTGCATTCACTATATCCGGTCTCCCCGGACCCTGCATTCACTATATCTGGTCTCCCCAGACCCTACATTCACTATATCTGGTCTCCCACAATACACAGAACATGGAAATGCAATTATTTTAGTAAATATAAACTGGTAAATCAGACGTATTTACCACAAGGCACTTGCCTAGGGTGGCAATTTTCAGAGGGGCAGCACCTCCCCCCAGAAGAAGGGATCAAAGAAGGGACGAGCTCGCCATGGGAACCAGGTGGGATCTAAGAGAGGCTGCAGGCTGCTTGATGGTGTATGCAGAACCTGACTTTCGTTCCTGGAGTTGGCCGGAGCTGTAAAGATGAGTGTCTTTTTCTCTATCAGTGGGGTAGTGGAAGGCTCTCCTGGGTGGGGGGCAGGGGTGTTGTTGGTCAATGTCCGCATTGTCAGTTTCTCTCCGCGGGATGGGGAAGGGGGGGGTGATGTTGTATTAGAGTCCAGCATAGCACTGGTTAAAGCTTTGAGGAGGAGTTTTCATTCGCTCCTATGAGGCTGCATAACCCCGACCCTCTGTGTGGACAGTGCTGATTGGCCCTGTGCTAAACACATGCATTCTCCCAAGGAAAAAAAACCCTCTAGCAATACACACCAAACTGAGCATGTGTAGCTTGCCCCCCCAAGGCTCTGTTCTTTCAGCAGATGGATTGGGGACAGTAGACGAAGGGGAGGTTTAGAAAAGACAGGATCAAACAGCCTTTTTACAAAATGGGGCAGATTAACCCCTTCAGTTGCACATTGAGTATAACCAGCATGCTTTACTGCATATACAGACTGATTTTACTGTTGTGGGTTTAGTAACACTTTAATACGAATTCAACGGATCATTTTGGGTATGTCCTCATACGCTATAGTTTTGGTAAACCTAAAGGAGGTTGTATAGAGATGGTACAATCCGGTTATAGAGTGGATGGTCAGCTTAGGGGTCCTTTTCACATGATTGTTTTGGTCCGATCTGCCTGTAGCTTCTAAATGGAGGCGCAGTGTTGGTCATGGGGGATGTGCATGTAAATGGGCTTATTTCTGTTTGAGTCCATTTAGGTCCAAAAGATGAAAAACGTGATGGATTGAAGTTAGAGGGATGTAAACGGATGCGGGATCATCCACTGTCACCTGCCCATAGACCCAACATTGAATGCAGGAAAGAAGTGAACGGATGTCTGCTACTGCGATGCAACAGGCGGTCCGAACACAAACCACTTCCCGATGGGAACAGTTGCCGCGTGTCGGAATTCTCTATGGTGCAGTTAACTCGCTTTGAAGGATACGTTCACCTTTGGGAACACGTTGCATCTGTTTTCAGGGTGGAACATGTAACATGTTCCCATAGCTGCGGCTCCCCCTCCCTCTGACAGGTAGTACGAGGAGACCTCTCCCCATACTATCTGTCAAATTTGAAAACAGCGAGGCTCCGCCCACACAGCCGCATCATTCATTCATGGACTTCCATGAACTACAAGTCCTGACAGTCTTGGCGGCTGTGGGGTTGTAGTTTTCAATGAACTTCACCATGCTGTGGTAGTTAATTGAAGCTTCCTATCAGAATATCTGCTTGCCGTATGGGATGTAAGTAAGCAGATACTCTGACAGGTCTGCAGGAGCCCTGCATGGCATCAGCGATCTACTGATCAATGGTACAATGCTTTTCAGTCTCCTGCAGCCAAAAATAATAAATACACATTTTTTTTTTTACCTGCAAATAATGTGCATTTATTATTTTTGTCTAAAAGGTGAACTTATCCATCAGTTGTAGCATTCCCATAGACCTGTCTTTGTATAGAAGCTGTTCTGAACCCCATCCCTGGTCTCCTCCTCCCATGCCCACCTCCAGGACTTCTGCAGGGTGTCACCCATCCTCTGGAACTCCCTGCCCCAACCCATCAGATTATCACCTACTCTCCTCTCCTTTAGGCACACCCTGAAAACCCATCTCTTCAGGGAAGCCTACCCCACCCCCTGCTAACTTGCCGACCTCCTCCACTCTTCCTACCACTCCTTCCCCCACAGCCATCTCCTCCTGTACCACCATCCCCTCCCTCCTAGATTGTAAGCTCGAAAGAGCAGGGCCTTCGATCCCCTCATGTTTTGCATTGTATTGGTATTGTTCTGTCACATGTTCTGTCCCCCTTTGTAATGTACAGCGCTGAGTGAACTATTGGTGCTTTATAAATACTGTATAATAATAATCCCCTTCCTGCAGTGATCTGATTGGTGGAGAGCAGCTCTACTTTTGCCCCATTATTAAAAACCTGTCCATGTGACTATTTTGCCGTTTGCACAATGTTTTCCAATTTTTGTGTTTTAAATAATAAAAAACAGTTTTGAAGTAGATTTGTCTGCTGTGTGTATGGGTGATTTTATTTTTCTGCCCGGAGTAAAGATGGCCGCGGGAGGAGGAAGCGTCTGAGGTTGCCATAGTAGCGCAACTGGCGTGTCACTTCCGGGGGAGCGCCCGGGGAAGCTTCCGCTAGGTTGACACCTCATTACATCCCAAGATGATTCGGAACGGACACGGCTACCCCGCCCCGGAGCGCGAGCCTTCCCGGCGGACAGTGCGGGTGTGGTGCGATGGATGGTGAGAGGCGGCCGCGGGCTGCATTCTGATTGGCTGATGACGTTCTGATTTAGAATGTTGGGGAATATTGCTGGGAATGCGATCTGATCCCAGAGCTACAATGTGATACCGGTCCGGGGGCTGCTATTGGCTGGACGAGAACTGCTGATCGTGTGCAGGGCTGTCCCCACCCACCATGTGGGTTTATAGGGAAAAAAAAAATAAAATATATATATATATATATATATATATATATATATATAAAATTCACCTCCATGGATGGTCTGATATCCTTCCAGAAACTGATCACTTTGATTGATCCCTGTTAATTATGTTCAGTTTTTTTTTTTATAGATATAAACCCAATCATTCTGACTTCAGAGCATCTAAGGGTGCTGGCCGCACCTTTCAAAAGTGATGCATGGTGGATCGTTTTTCAGAGGGTGTTATGTCGCCTGTTTTAACCCTGAAAAGCCTGCGCTACCCTGTGTTCATTGTATGGCTGTGGTGTACGTTGGAAAAAAAAAAAGCACGCCATGCAGTACTTCTGTAGGCTCCGTTCATACCTGTGCGTTCTGGGAACGCGCCAAAATGTGCATCGCCATTCTTAAAGGCACCCCAAATGTGCAAGCTTGCCGCCCAAGAAAGGTTCAGGAGCTACTTTGGTAGCCATTTAGTGAATGGGCTACCCTAGGGGGTTGTGCGACGAATGCACAAAGAAAGACGCATAAGTGAACGAGGCCTTATGAGCACAGCGGGAAGCGATTATGTACCACTGAATTGCTGCAGTGAATAGAACTCTCGCTCTTGACATTTCAATAAAGTTCTATAAATAAAAAAAAAAGTAGATGGTGCGATGCATCAGGATCAGCACTCTGCCTCCTTGCGCATACCAGCATCCGTGCGTTTGGTGCGGTTTTCTGGTGTGAACAAGCCTAAATGTTTATGGCAGCACTTTACTGAGACCGGGTTCACATACACTATATTGCCAAACGTATTGGTCGGCCTGCCTTTCCACGCACATGACCTTTAATGGCCCCCCAGTCTTAGTCCGTAGGGTTCAATATTGAGTTGGCCCCGCCCTTTGCAGCTATAACAGCTTCAACTCTTCTGGGAAGGCCGTCCACAAGGTTTAGGAGGGTGTCTATGGGAAGGTTGGACCATTCTTCCAGAAGCACATTTGTCAGGTCAGGCACTGATGTCGGGGGAGGAGGCCTGGCTCACAGTCTCCGCTCTAATTCATCCCAAAGGTGTTCTATGGGGTTGAGGTCAGGACTCTGTGCAGGACAATCAAGTTCCTCCACCCCAAACTCGCCCATCCATGTCTTTATGGACCTTGCTTTGTGCACTGGTGTGCAGTCATGTTGGAACAGGAAGGGGCCATCCCCAAACTCTTCCCACAAAGTTGGGAGCAAGAAATTGTCCAACATGTCTTGGTATGCTGATGCCTTAAGAGTTCCCTTCACTAGAACTAGGGGGCCAAGCCCAACCCCTGAGAAACACCCCTACACCATAATCCCCCCTCCACCAAACTTTACACTTGGCACAATGCAGTCAGGCAAGTACCGTTCTCCTGACAACCGCCAAACCCAGACACTTCCATTGGACTGCCAGACAGAGAAGTGTGATTGGTCACTTCAGAGAACACGTCTCCACTGCTCTAGAGTCCAGTGGCAGCATGCTTTACACCACTGCATCCGCCGCTTTGCATTGCACTTGGTGATGTAAGGCTTGGATGCAGCTGCTCGGCCATGGAAACCCATTCCATGAAGCTCTCTACACTCTGTTGTTGTGCTAATCTGAAGGCCACACCAAGTTTGGAGGTCTTTAGCTATTGACTCTGCAGACAGTTGGCGACTTCTGCGCACTGTGCGCTTCAGCATGCGCTGACCCCGCCCTGTCATGTGACGTGGCCTACCACTTGGTGGCTGAGTTGCTGTTGTTCCCAGTTGCCTCCACTTTATTATAATCCCACTAACAGTTGAGCGTGGAACCCAGGGCGGGGTAATGTGTTAGGAATGTAAGGATGTCCCATCGTGTGATGGAAATGAAAATGATCGACCTACAGAGGACTGAATTCAAAGACACCCCAAAAATCAAAGTGAAAAAATGATGCAGCAGACTAGTCCATTTTGTTGATATTTCATTGCAGCAACTCAGAATGGTCCTCAGTAGTTTGTATGGCCCCCACGTGCTTGTATGCATGCCTGACAACGTCGGGGCATGCTCCTAATGAGACCACGGATGGTGTCCTGGGGGATTTCCTCCCAGATCTGGACCAGGGCATCACTGAGCTCCTGGACAGTCTGAGGTGCAACCTGGCGGCGTTGGATGGACCGAAACATGATATCCCAGAGGTGTTCTACTGGATTTAGGTTATGGCAGTCAGGGTGCCATTGTCTAGCCTGTAGAGGTCTGTGCGTCCCTCCATGGATATGCCTCCCCAGACCATCACTGACCCACCACCAAAACGGTCATGCTGAATGACGTTTACAGGAAGCATAATGTTCTCCACGGCTTCTCCAGACCCTTTCACGTCTGTCACATGTGCTCAGGGTGAACCTGCTCTCATCTGTCAAAAGCACGAGGCACCAGTAGTGGACCTGCCAATTCTGGTGTTCAATGGCAAATGCCAATCGAGTTCTATGGTGCCGGGCAGTGAGCACAGGGCATATTAGAGGATATATATGCACTTGCTAGTACCGGGTGGAACCCTTTTGCCTTCAGAACTGCCTTAATTCTTCGTATTGTAGATTCCAACAAGGTGGAAACATTCCTGAGATTTTGGTCCATATTGACATGATAGCATCACGCAGTTGCTGCAGATTTGTTGGCTGCACATCCATAATGTGAGTGTCCCAATCCACCACGTCCCAAAGGTGCTCAATGGCCTCCACAGTCTGGTGACTGTGGAGGCCATTGGAGTCCAGTGATCTTATTGTCATGGTCAAGAAACCAGTCTGAGATGATTTGAGCTTTGTGACATGGTGCATTATCCTGCTGGAAGTAGCCATCAGAAGATGGGAACACTGAAGTCATAAAGGGATGGACATGGTCAGCAACAACACTCAGGTAGGCCATGGCGTTTTAAGCTTTTCTCAGTTGGTAGTAAGGAGCCCAATGTGTGCCAAGAAAATATCCCCCACACTGTTACACCACCACCAGCCTGAACCGTTGATATAAGGCAGGATGGATCCATGCTTTCATGTTGTTTACACCAAATTCTGACCCTACCATCTGAATGTTGCAGCTGAAGTTTAGACATCAGACCAGGAAACGTTTTTCCAATCTTCTATTGTCAAATTTTGGTGAGCCTGTGCGAATTGTAGCCTGCATTTCCTGTTCTTAGCTGACAGGTGTGGCATTCGGTGTGATCTTCTGCTGCTGTAGACAATCTGTTTCAAGGTTTGATGTGTTGTGCATTCAGATATTCTGCATACCTTGGTTGTAAGGAGTGGTTATTTGAGTTACTGTTGCCTTTCTATCATCTTGAAGCAGTCTGCCCATTCTCCTCTGACATCAACAAAATCATTCTCCACACAACTGCCACTCACTTGTTATTTTCTCTTTTTAAGACCAATCTCTGTAAACCCTAGAGATGATTGTGTGTGAAAATCCCAGTAGATCAGCAGTTTTTCTAAATATTCACACCAGTCCATCAGGCACCAACAACCATACCATGTTCAAAATAACTTAAATCCCCTTTCTTCCCCGTTCTGATGCTCAGTTTGAACTTCAGCAAGTTGTCTTCACCACTTGTAGATGCTTAAATGTTTTGATTTGCTGCCATGTGATTGGCTGATTAACAGTTTGTGTTACCAAGCAATTGAACAGGTGTACTTTATAAAGAGGCCAGTGACTGTATATACAGCGGGTAAAATAAGTATTGAACACCACCATTTTTCTCAGTAAATATTCAGAAGTTTAGAAATCCTTCTGTAACCAATGCCATCTGTATGTTTTGCAACAATAAGTTTGCGAAGGTCTTGAGAGAGCTCTTTGCATTGACCCATCTTGTGTGACACCTTGGTAATGAGACACCTTTTTATAGGCTGTCAGTTGAGACCAGTTGATAACCAGTTGATATTAATTTGCACAGACAAGGGGCAGGATTGCTTTCTAATTATTGATAGATTTCAGCTGGTGTCTTAGCTTTCCATGCGTTTTTGCACCTCCCTTTCTTTACGTGTTCAATACTTTTTCCCGGTGTCATTCCATTTTATTATGCATAACTTAATTTGTGAACTTGTTTGTTTTGCTTTATTTGTATGTATGGATTGCAGGGGTTGTTACCAACACGTGGTGAAAATTTCATGTCAATAGCACCTTTAGAAATATTTTTACCCAGAAAAATGGTGACGTGTTCAATACTTCTTTTCCTCACTGTATTTGTATTTATTAGAGTTTTACATGATACGTGGTTTTGTGATTATTATTATACACACTGTATCAGAGGACTATGGCCTTCCTGTAGTTTAGGCTTTTGCATTCTGTATGAGTACTGGAATGGGTGATGGTCACAGGACATGCTGTTACGAAGGGATTAAGCCACTGGCTATGCTCATGTTGCATGCTTGAGTTACAGTCATGTGAATGTCACAAAGCTGGAACAGACCGTTGTGATAAGTGGTTTATAAATGTGTATTCAGGGATCTGCTAGGAAACAGATCAATAGAATAGAGGATAACAAATATTGATCTGTCTACTAAAACAAAAAGCTCTTTCTGTTGTCTTTAGCAACCGGTCATATTCTTCTATATATCTGTAGTGCAGGAAGGAAATGCAAAGGAAAGGGAAAAAAAATCTTGTTATATAGGCAATAAGAGAAAGTGCACCCAAGCTAGCCATACATGTCTCGAATTTCATCTGTTTTGCCAAAATTCGAGTCACGTGCGGCCTTGTTGACTCCACACAGGTGAGCGAATGTTGATTAGAGAAAAGAAAAAAAGATGGCTGAACAGTGATTGCAGCCAATCAGATGCCTTGGGAGTATAAGATAAGAAATAAATAAGTGAGCGCTA